ATTGTTTTCATTTTTCTCAAAATTCCAAATAAAAAATATTAAATCAACATTACTTTTTGTTATATTTAAGCTACAATGAAAACATAACATACATATGTATTCATTTATACAAATTGAAAAAGTATGTATCCATATATATGTATGAATTAATTTTGCAATTCTTAGAAGTTTAAGAATAATTATAATGTATGTAAATATATGTGCAATTTTTGAATATATCCTATCACAATAAATATACATAATGATATTATATGTGTATAACATATGCTTAAAAAACAAAAATTTAATTCTAATATGTATGCATTGTATGCAAATAGTTTGTAACTGTCATACTTTATTTGTAAATGTATAACCAAGGATTATAAATAGAAAAATAATTTTCTCCTAACATGTGACTACATTTATTATACTAAATGTTTTCTACCATATGTATATTTTTATCAAGAAAAATACATTTTTAATATTTCATTTGTATTTTTTTGTTTAATATACTATTCCTCAATTACTCTTTAAATATAAAAATGTATGTAATTTTGAAGATATTCTTTTGTCATGTATTTTTGTAGATTATTTTTATTAAATAACATAAACATAACCTTCCATAAAATTTATTTGAATCTTATACATGTCTTAATAAACAAATTTAAAAACAAAAAGTCTTTGAATATATTAATAACATATATGTGTGAGACAAAGTACTTTTTAAGCAAATATAGCCCTTTTCTGTTTGAATAGCCTAACGTAAAACGTATGGTACTTATTTCGTGTTATCTATTCTTTATCTTTCTTACGTACTTTTATTATCTTTCTTATCTTTGGTTACACACTTAAAGGTCTATCCTACCTGGATCAGAAATGATACTTTGTTAATTATATGATAAAAAATTCGATTCGCTTATCATTTGTATATACATAGGTATCGGTCATGCCTTCGCATAGTTTAATCTAGGGATTTTTATTCTAGTTCAGAATATCTTTACTCATATTAACAGAAACTAATTATATTA